CCAAACTTGCGAACTTGTTGCCATCAGCCACCAAGAGTTCGCCCTCATTGCGCTCTGCCAAACTTGCGAACTTGGTCTTGTCGTGGCAAATGTTGTGCGTTGCACCACTGTCGACGGCCCACATTCCAGACACGTCCTTGCTCGTCGAAACTCCACATTCGAACGAGACTGCAAACGCCACTCGATCGTAGCCATTGCCTTCGCATCATGATGTCCCCACTGGACATTGCCATTGCCACGTCACGACCATTGCCGCCGCGTCAGGCTCCCCCCCGACCTTCGTTCTTCTGCTTTGTGTAACGATCCACCACGTAGTGTCCCACCTTGCCACAATACATTGCATTGGTATAATTCACGCTCGGCGCTAAATGCCTTTACCATCTTCAGCGCTTTACATGAGTGGCTAATGGTGTCCCTTTTTCTCATGACGCTTGGCATGCTCATTCGTCAGGACTCTCACCACATCTTGAGTGCGAAGCTCGGTGCCTGCTCATTTCCATGTTGAGCACCACATTTACCGGCGTAGCTCTTCGGAGAGAGACTGAGTATGAAACGATTGCAGCATCTTCGTCTTCCATCTTCACTTTCCGATGCCGCCAAGCTTGGCGGAGATGTTAAGGACCTCGTTGCAGTGATGCATGACGTTCGCGCCTTCAGCCATCTTGATACTGGAAAGTTGTCGGCAGAGGTAGATGCATCCTGCCTTCTGCGACCACCGGCGCGTCTTCCAGACTTGTCCACAACCCAGGCTTCCTTGCAGTTATCCAGCGCGGCGGTAGTCCGCGTTCATGGGCGGCAACGCATCTGCCGGCGCGACGTTGCTTGCCTTGACGTAGTCATCAGAAACTCGCCTTGGAGTCCGGTGAAGATCAGAGTCACTTCACGGTTGACGACGTGCCAGACAGACTTCGTCAAAAACACACCGCGCATGTACCGGCCCCCACGTTGCGTAATTGTCTCAATTGAACTTTTCAATGGAGGCGCGTTGCTGGTGGACGACATGGCGCTTGGGCGCCATAACCTGTTGCATTGTAGATCGGCGCGAGAAAGCGGAGCGGACGGGCGGAGAGACCGAAAGAGTTGAGCAGAAAACGCATGCCCAATAGTTGGAAGATTCAAAGTGATTGATTATCGGGGCTTACTACTTACTACATGATTTATATGTGGTGTACATATAAATCATGTGAAGCTCGTATCTCATCATCCTACGCGTCTAATCAACTATAGTAATTACCGTAAGAACTACGTCGTATTATTTACTAAGCTGAACAGGCGGTTCGGATTGGATCAGTCACGAAGTTACCAACACTGGTAGGAAACCGATGACCGTCAACAAGCTGGCGAACGTTTGTGCTGACCCCTAAGGAAAAGAGATCGAAATGGGATCCGAAGGCTCGTAAAGGACGATTCCATGGGGTACGAAGAAGTGTCAAAGCGCATATCGCGTTTGCGACATTGAAGCGGACCAAGTGGTGATATCTCGCAATGCCACATTCGACGAATCAACGTTTGGTTTCTCGCCGACGCTACCACAAGAAAGTGTGATGACACTGCGCTGGATATCGAATCGATGGACATCAGCGATGGAGCCTCACCCCATGCAGTTCAAGCAAACTGGAAAACGCAAGAAGCCGTTCAAACAGCCAAGAACAAGTTCTACAACGGACACTTCCCACAGAGCGTCGTGGAACCGGGTTAGAAGAATCAAGTGCCCCGGATGACTCTGAATCGCACCAAGCCAGCGACGGTCATGCGCTCGGAGTCAACCTGGACAAAGAGCGAAATGTCAGTGACGGAAGATAACGAGGATGCTAAAACTCAAGTCTTTTGGAGAGCGGAGTGCCAATGCAGTCGAAGGTACTGACTTGTTCTGAGCTGACAACGTTTAAAGATGCTGTTGATGGAGCAGATCAAGTGCATTGGCGTAAAAGCAATCTGGTGCCGAAATTCGGACTCGATGAAACTTCGTGGCGTGTTTCGAGCGACCAAACTGCCAGCTGGACAGCATACCATTGGCACCAAGTGGGGTATTTCAAGATCAAGCGGAAAGCTGATGGATCCATCGAGAAATACAAGCGCGTCTCGTGGCAAAAGGGTTCAAGCCGAAATATGGCATCGAGTACACGGAAACGTTTTTGCCGGTAGTCAAGTACGTGACGCTGCGCATGGTGGTTGCAATCACGAAGTACTTTGACTGGACACTGGACCAACTGGACGTGGTGACAGCTTTCCTATACAGAGAGATGAAGGAAAAGGTATTCTGCGCGATTCCAGGAAGGAGTCGAAGTTGATGAAGACTTTGACTGCTTTGAACTGGTCAAGGCGATCTACGGACTAAAACAAGCATCGCGCGTATGGAACGAGACTTTTCATGAGTTCGTCTGCTCCATTGGATTTCAAGTCTCCGATTTTGACCAGTGTCTTTATCTCAAGATTACAAGTGGCGAGTGCATGCTTTTGCTGTTATACGTCGATGATGTGTTGGTGACTGGCAGCTCGACCGTACTGATCATGCGCACCAAGAGTGACTTAAAGGCGCGTTTTGGAATGACTGACAGCGGCAAGTGCGCATTCGTGTTGGGCATCGAGCTGGTGGACAACGACAACGGTAGCGTGACGATGTGCCAGCGACGCTACGTGGAAGATGTTCTCAATCTTTTTGGCATGAGCAATTGCAAAGCCGTCACCAGCCCAACAGACATCAGTTCTCGACTCATACCAAGCACCGCAGCAACCAAAATCGACGCCCCGTTTTGTGAAGCAGTAGGCGCTTTGATGCACTTGATGACCGCGACACGACCGGACATTGCCTTTGCTGTGAGTTACATTTCGCACTTCATGGAAAACCCCCAAGTCGAGCATTGGATGGAGGTCAAGCGCGTTCTGCTACACTTACAAGGGACTAAGTCGCACGGCATCTGTTTCAAGTCTGATGACAAGATAGACTTCTGCGGCTACTCAGATGCAGACTGGGCCGGCGACCATGCAGACTGCAAGTCGACTTCGGGATATGCGTTCATCCTGATGGGTGCTCCGGTGAGCTGGGGAAGCAAAACGCAGTCAAGTGTGTTGCTTTCAACAAGTGAAGCTGAGTACATTGCACTAAGTCTGGCGATTCAAGAAGGCAAGTGGGTGCATCGATTGCTGTGCGAAATTCTGGATACCGCAGAGGACAAGTCCGGACCTAAGCTCAAGATCATGGAAGACAACCAATCGTGCACCAAGATGACGAAGAATCCTGTGAACCATGGTCGGGCCAAGCACATCGACATCAAGTACCATCACATTCGTGATGAAGTCAAGCATGGTGATGTCTAGTTGAAGTACTGTGAGACTACGATGATGATGGCGGATATCATGACGAAGGGACTGCCAGGACCGCGTCACAAGGACTTTGACGGCAGCGCTCGGCATACACGCTTGTTCGCATTGAGGGGGGCGTATTGTGGGTTGACGGTTGAGGTACTGCTATCAGCTACCATGGAAACTGTAAACCTGTCCAAGTCGATCCCGCTTAATTACGGTGAGTTTTTACCAATGATTAGACGCATAGGATGATTGGATGACCTACATGATTTTTGTATCATGATTTATATGTGGACAACATATAAATCAGTGCAGAGATAAATCAGGTAGCTCTAACAAAAACCCACAGATAAATTCACTTCCAATGTTCCTTCTCCTACACAAGTCTTCTTCACTTCGCAGTGTAGATTCTTTCAAGTTCTTCAAGCTTCGTTCTATCGCCCAAGGCTCGTTACATCTTAACACCCCTTAATAGGTTCCGCTGCGTTATTTTAGCCCAGAGGTTAGTGGCAAAGAGCTTTCAGTAACGCACTAGAATCGACCGGCGACAATGCCATTTTCAACCCATCTCAGATTGCGCCAAAGTAGCGAGGTAACCGATAATCGAAATCTTAACCCTGTCGAGATGGTAGCCACTCTTGCTGATCGTATTGTTTACCTGGTCGACGTCGCAGCTGTGTCCTTTGACATTCTCCGCCGACATCGACTCACGTCGAAGTGGCGAGGTAGCTGGAAATTAGGAACACGACCCTGTCGAGACCGAAGCCGCTCCTACTTACCTTCCCGTACATCCACTTGACGTCTCTGCTTCTACTGCTGATCTTGCATTTGATGCGGTCGTCTTGATGATTATGCTAACCAACGCTGATGGCCGTGGTCATGTTCTGGTGAGTGATTTTGGTTCTTTTCTCTTTCCTATTCGTGAGTAGGGCCTTTGCCCATTAAAAAATTAAAAACTGATAAGCGCCTATATTACAAGGCTTTACCGTCGCACCGCCTTTCAGGTGGACTTGATTGATTCGTATCAGAGCCTGAAGATAGCGATGCTAATCAAAATACGACGCAATGATGTATTTGAACAAAGCTTTGTGGGTGGGTTGCAATCGCGTCCCCGTTCGTGCAGTTTGTCCAAGAAAGACACGAAATTTGCCATGGTCTGGCGTGAGTGTCACACGAAAGCCGTTAAACGGGACCAGGATATTCCTATCTGCAGCACGATGCGCTTAAATATTCTCAGGACGGGCTGTTTGACCTGCTCGCCCGCGATGTGGCCGAACAGGCTCATGATATCAGTTGCCTCAAGATCGAAAATGGGCTTCGCGACCAGGATATAAATCGTTTGCGCTCCTACCTTAATCCCAATGCTAAGTTCTTAGAAATTTCTAAAGGCTAAAGGTATCTCCTCTCCGGCACCATGACGCTTAACTGGCCCATCTGGTGGACTATGTTTTATGCTTCTGTTGACGGTCATCGGTTTCCCTACCAGTGTTGGTAACCGTGACCGGTCCAATCCGAACCGCCTGTTCAGCTTAGTATTTACGACGTAGTTCTTACGGTAATTACCATAGTTGATTAGACGCGTAGGATGATGAGACGCTTCACATGATTTATATGTACACCACATATAAATCATGTAGTAAGTAGTAAGCCCCGATAATCAATCACTTTCGAATCTTCCAACTATTGGGCAAGTGTTTTCTGCTCTACTCTCTTCGGTCTCTCCGCTCCGTTCGCTCCGCTTTCCTCGCTCCGATCTACAATGCAACAGGTTATGAGCCCAAGCGCCATGTCGTCCACCATCAACGCCTCCATTGAAAAGTTCAACGGAGACAATTACGCAACGTGGAGCCGGTACATGCGCGGTGTGTTTTTGACGAAGTCCGTCTGGCACGTCGTCAACCGTGAAGTGACTCCAACTTTCACCGACCCGCGAGCGTCCGATGACTACGTCAAGGCAAGCAACGTCGCGTTTGGTATGATGCTGCTGCACATGAACGCGGACTACCATCATGGGCTGGACAACTGCGAGGAAGCCTGGGTTTCGTGGACAAGTCTGAAGACGCTGTACGGTGGGTCGCAGAAGGCAGGACGCATCTACCTCAAGCTACAACTTTTCAGTATCAAGATGGATGAAGGCGCGAACGTCATGCATCACTGCAACGAGGTCCTCAACATCTCCGCCAAGCTTAGCGGCATCGGTGCGAAGATGGAAGACGAAGACGTTGCAATTTGTCTGCTACTCAGTCTTCCGAAGAGCTACGAAAATGTGGTGCTCAACATGGAAATGAGCAGCACCGAGCTTCGCACTCAAGATGTGGTGAGAGTCCTGACGAATGAGCATGCCAAGCGTCAAGGAGAAAAAGGGACAACGACAGCGACTACGGTGAAGGCTGAAGATGCAAGCAAGGCATTCAGCGCCGAGCGTGAGCCCTACCAATGCACGTATTGTGGCAAGGTGGGACACACGGTGGATCGTTGCTGGACAAAGCAGAAGAACGAAGGTCGGGGAGCCCGACGCGGCGGCAATGGTCGTGGACGCGGGGCTAACAATGTCCAGTGGGGACATCATGATGAAGGCAATGGCTACGATCGAGTGGCGTTTGCAGTCTCGTTCGAATGTGGAGTTTCGACGAGCAAGGACGTGTCTGGAATGTGGGCGGTCGACAGTGGTGCAACGCACCACATTTGCCACGACAAGACCAAGTTCGCAAGTTTGGCAGAGCGCAATGAGGGCGAACTCTTGGTGGCTGATGGCAACAAGGTGGCCATCAAGGGTGTGGGAACCATCATGGAAAAGGTGGTTCTGCCCAACGGTGAAGAGCGTGAGATCGAAATCAAGAACGCGCTATATGTTCCAAGTATGAGCAAGAACCTGCTCTCGGTGCCACAGATTAACAGCCATGGCAAGTTTCAAGTCGTGTTTGACGGGTCCAAGATGTATGTGACTCTCAAGAACTCACAGCAAGTGGTGGCGACAGCGGATCTCGTGGATGGACTCTACTGGCTTCGGACGACTCAACGATCAGCTAATGTGACAACAAGTGGAACCAGTTGTGCCGATCTACATGCGAGAATGGGTCATGCTCCAGTCGACGTGCTTTGCAAGATGGTCTCCAACAACATGATCAAAGATGTGGGAGTACCTCTCGAGTCAAGTGGATCAGGTACATATCGAGGATGTCAGCAAGGGGAAATGGTCCAAAAACCATACCCAAGCAATCGTGACAAGCGCAGCTACGATACGTTTGAGCTACTTCATCTGGACATCTGCGGGCCCATGGAAAAGGATTCGCTCGGTGGCAGCAAATATTTGCTGCTGATCATCGACGAAGCCAGTGGATGCATGAAGGGCTTTTGTCTACGAGTGAAGTCCGAGAGTGAAGACTACATCCGGAAATATATCACCATGGTACAGACGCAATTCTGTAAGAAGGTCAAGTTCGTGCGACACGACGGAGCTCGCGAGTTTGCAACCAACTCGCTTCAACTGTTCTACAAAGACGAAGGCATTGAACAGCAGACAACGGTGTCGTATGCACATCAAACAAACGGAACAGCAGAGCGTGCCATTAGGACTATTGTCACGATCGGTGTTGACGGTCATCGATTTTCTACCAGTATTGGTAACCGTGACCGATCCAATCCGAACCGCCTGTTCAGCTTAGTATTTACGACGTAGTTCTTACGGTAATTACCATAGTTGATTAGACGCGTAGGATGATGAGACGCTTCACATGATTTATATGTACACCACATATAAATCATGTAGTAAGTAGTAAGCCCCGATAATCAATCACTTTCGAATCTTCCAACTATTGGGCAAGTGTTTTCTGCTCTACTCTCTTCGGTCTCTCCGCTCCGTTCGCTCCGCTTTCCTCGCTCCGATCTACAATGCAACAGGTTATGAGCCCAAGCGCCATGTCGTCCACCATCAACGCCTCCATTGAAAAGTTCAACGGAGACAATTACGCAACGTGGAGCCGGTACATGCGCGGTGTGTTTTTGACGAAGTCCGTCTGGCACGTCGTCAACCGTGAAGTGACTCCGACTTTCACCGACCCGCGAGCGTCCGATGACTACGTCAAGGCAAGCAACGTCGCGTTTGGTATGATGCTGCTGCACATGAACGCGGACTACCATCATGGGCTGGACAACTGCGAGGAAGCCTGGGTTTCGTGGACAAGTCTGAAGACGCTGTACGGTGGGTCGCAGAAGGCAGGACGCATCTACCTCAAGCTACAACTTTTCAGTATCAAGATGGATGAAGGCGCGAACGTCATGCATCACTGCAACGAGGTCCTCAACATCTCCTCCAAGCTTAGCGGCATCGGTGCGAAGATGGAAGACGAAGACGTTGCAATTTGTCTGCTACTCAGTCTTCCGAAGAGCTACGAAAATGTTGTGCTCAACATGGAAATGAGCAGCACCGAGCTTCGCACTCAAGATGTGGTGAGAGTCCTGACGAATGAGCATGCCAAGCGTCAAGGAGAAAAAGGGACAACGACAGCGACTACGGTGAAGGCTGAAGATGCAAGCAAGGCATTCAGCGCCGAGCGTGAGCCCTACCAATGCACGTATTGTGGCAAGGTGGGACACACGGTGGATCGTTGCTGGACAAAGCAGAAGAACGAAGGTCGGGGAGCCCGACGCGGCGGCAATGGTCGTGGACGCGGGGCTAACAATGTCCAGTGGGGACATCATGATGAAGGCAATGGCTACGATCGAGTGGCGTTTGCAGTCTCGTTCGAATGTGGAGTTTCGACGAGCAAGGACGTGTCTGGAATGTGGGCGGTCGACAGTGGTGCAACGCACCACATTTGCCACGACAAGACCAAGTTCGCAAGTTTGGCAGAGCGCAATGAGGGCGAACTCTTGGTGGCTGATGGCAACAAGGTGGCCATCAAGGGTGTGGGAACCATCATGGAAAAGGTGGTTCTGCCCAACGGTGAAGAGCGTGAGATCGAAATCAAGAACGCGCTATATGTTCCAAGTATGAGCAAGAACCTGCTCTCGGTGCCACAGATTAACAGCCATGGCAAGTTTCAAGTCGTGTTTGACGGGTCCAAGATGTATGTGACTCTCAAGAACTCACAGCAAGTGGTGGCGACAGCGGATCTCGTGGATGGACTCTACTGGCTTCGGACGACTCAACGATCAGCTAATGTGACAACAAGTGGAACCAGTTGTGCCGATCTACATGCGAGAATGGGTCATGCTCCAGTCGATATACTTCGCAAGATGATCGCGACCAACATGATCAAGGATGTGGGAGTACCTCTCGAGTCAAGTGGATCAGGTACATATCGAGGATGTCAGCAAGGGGAAATGGTCCAAAAACCATACCCAAGCAATCGTGACAAGCGCAGCTACGATACGTTTGAGCTACTTCATCTGGACATCTGCGGACCCATGGAAAAGGATTCGCTCGGTGGCAGCAAATATTTGCTGCTGATCATCGACGAAGCCAGTGGATGCATGAAGGGCTTTTGTCTACGAGTGAAGTCCGAGAGTGAAGACTACATCCGGAAATATATCACCATGGTACAGACGCAATTCTGTAAGAAGGTCAAGTTCGTGCGACACGACGGAGCTCGCGAGTTTGCAACCAACTCGCTTCAACTGTTCTACGAAGACGAAGGCATTGAACAGCAGACAACGGTGCCGTATGCACATCAAACAAACGGAACAGCAGAGCGTGCCATTAGGACTATTGTCACGATCGGCCGCAGCATGCTTCATCATGCCAAACTGGACAAGTGTTTCTGGGCCGAAGCAGCGATGACGGCCATCTACGTCAAGAATCGACTGCCGTCACCTAAAGTCGTGCACAAGACCCCGTTTGAGATCGTCTACAACTTGAAACCAAGCGTCAAGCACATGCGAACATTCGGGTGTCAGACATACATACTGACGCCTAAAGAGAATCGACTCAAGTGGGATCCAAAGGCTCGCGCTGGCATATTCGTGGGCTACGAAGAAGTTTCGAAGGCATATCGTGTTTATGACATCGAGGCGGGGCAGGTGGTTATCAGCCGCGATGTCAACTTCGACGAGTCCACCTATGGACTTCAACTGCCGATCACTGATGAAGATGTCGATGACCTGGACTTCGAATTGCTGGATCTTGATGACGAAGAGCTGCGTCAAATGGAGTACAAGCAAACAGGCAAGCGCAAGAACCGACTCAATGATGAAGATACAGCAGCTCCACGACCGCGTGCAGTGCGTCAACGACCAGGACTAGAAGAGTCAAGCGCGCCGGAAAACAACTCGTCACGCCAAGAAGAAGACGAAGAAACGAAGGATTCTGGTGATTCAACACCGCCTGTGTTTTGGCGTGCGAGTGCAAATGCCGTTGAAGCAGCAGTGGACTTATCAGAGCCCTCAACATTTGAAGCAGCAGTAAGCGGCCCTGACCAAGTGCACTGGAGAAAAGCAATTCATGCAGAGCTCGAGTCAATGCGACTTCGCGGTGTGTTTCGTGCAGCCAAGCTGCCCAACGGACAACGCGCCATTGGCACAAAATGGGTGTTCAAGATCAAGCGCAAGGCGGATGGGTCAATCGAGAAGTACAAGGCACGACTTGTGGACAAGGGTTTCCGCCAAAAGTATGGAATCGACTACACGGAGACGTTTTCGCCCGTGGTCAAGTATGTGACGCTGCGAAAGATGATCGCAATTTCCAAGCATTTTGGATGGCCCATCGACCAGCTTGATGTGATGACAGCTTTCCTGTATGGCGTCATGAAGGAACAAGTGTTCTGCGTGATTCCTGAAGGCGTCGAACTTGACAGTACGTTCGACTGCCTGGAATTGGTGAAGGCAATTTACGGCCTGAAGCAAGCTTTGCGAGTATGGAACGAGACTTTTGACGAGTGTGTGTTCCATTGGATTTCAAGTGCCAGGCTTCGACCCATGTCTCTACATCAAGACTTCGGACGGCCATTGCGTGTTTATACTGGTCTATGTGGATGACGTGTTGGTGACAGGAAGCTCACCCAAGTTGATTGCACACACCAAGGAAGACCTGAAGACACGCTTCGAGATGACTGATAGCGGCAAGTGTGCATTTGTTCTTGGGATCGAGCTTTTGGACGGTGAAGATGGCAGTGTGACACTATGTCAGCGTCGGTATGTCGATGATATCCTCAAGCGCTTTGGCATGGATGATTGCAAGGCAGTCGCAAGTCCAGTCGACATGAGCTCTCGACTTGTTTCAAGTGATGCAACTACCAAGGTCGATGCTCCTTTTCGCGAAGCTGTTGGTGCGTTGATGCACCTGACCACTGCAACGCGTCCGGACATTGCGTTTGCTGTGGGCTATGTGTCGCGGTTCATGGAAAATCCCCAAGAAGAACACTGGGTTGCAGTTAAGCGTATCTTTCGCTACCTACAAGGCACCAAGACGCATGGAATTTGCTACAAGCCAAGTGCAAGGATCGACTTCCGTGGATATTCGGATGCGGATTGGGCTGGTGATCTTACCGACCGTAAGTCAACATCGGGGTACACGTTCATGCTACTCGGTGCGCCAGTCAGTTGGGGCAGCAAGAAGCAGCCAACTGTTTCGTTGTCCACGACTGAAGCTGAATACATCGCACTCAGCTTGGCGATTCAAGAGGGCAAGTGGATTCATCGTCTGCTTTGTGAGATCGTGATGGCTGCCAATGAAGAAGGACCGGAACTCATGATTCATGAAGACAATCAGTCATGTATCAAGATGACGAAGAACCCAGTCAACCACGGCCGTGCCAAGCACATTGATATCAAGTACCATCACATCCGTGATGAGGTCAAGCGCGGTGAAGTGAAGCTCAAGTACTGTGAAACTGCGGTGATGTTAGCGGACATCATGACGAAGGGACTTCATGGACCACGCCACAAGGAGATGACGACGGCTCTCGGGATTCGTGAGCATTCGGATTGAGGGGGCGTGTTGACGGTCATCGGTTTCCTACCAGTATTGGTAACCGTGACCGATCCAATCCGAACCGCCTGTTCAGCTTAGTATTTACGACGTAGTTCTTACGGTAATTACCATAGTTGATTAGACGCGTAGGATGATGAGACGCTTCACATGATTTATATGTACACCACATATAAATCATGTAGTAAGTAGTAAGCCCCGATAATCAATCACTTTCGAATCTTCCAACTATTGGGCAAGTGTTTTCTGCTCTACTCTCTTCGGTCTCTCCGCTCCGTTCGCTCCGCTTTCCTCGCTCCGATCTACAATGCAACAGGTTATGAGCCCAAGCGCCATGTCGTCCACCATCAACGCCTCCATTGAAAAGTTCAACGGAGACAATTACGCAACGTGGAGCCGGTACATGCGCGGTGTGTTTTTGACGAAGTCCGTCTGGCACGTCGTCAACCGTGAAGTGACTCCAACTTTCACCGACCCGCGAGCGTCCGATGACTACGTCAAGGCAAGCAACGTCGCGTTTGGTATGATGCTGCTGCACATGAACGCGGACTACCATCATGGGCTGGACAACTGCGAGGAAGCCTGGGTTTCGTGGACAAGTCTGAAGACGCTGTACGGTGGGTCGCAGAAGGCAGGACGCATCTACCTCAAGCTACAACTTTTCAGTATCAAGATGGATGAAGGCGCGAACGTCATGCATCACTGCAACGAGGTCCTCAACATCTCCGCCAAGCTTAGCGGCATCGGTGCGAAGATGGAAGACGAAGACGTTGCAATTTGTCTGCTACTCAGTCTTCCGAAGAGCTACGAAAATGTGGTGCTCAACATGGAAATGAGCAGCACCGAGCTTCGCACTCAAGATGTGGTGAGAGTCCTGACGAATGAGCATGCCAAGCGTCAAGGAGAAAAAGGGACAACGACAGCGACTACGGTGAAGGCTGAAGATGCAAGCAAGGCATTCAGCGCCGAGCGTGAGCCCTACCAATGCACGTATTGTGGCAAGGTGGGACACACGGTGGATCGTTGCTGGACAAAGCAGAAGAACGAAGGTCGGGGAGCCCGACGCGGCGGCAATGGTCGTGGACGCGGGGCTAACAATGTCCAGTGGGGACATCATGATGAAGGCAATGGCTACGATCGAGTGGCGTTTGCAGTCTCGTTCGAATGTGGAGTTTCGACGAGCAAGGACGTGTCTGGAATGTGGGCGGTCGACAGTGGTGCAACGCACCACATTTGCCACGACAAGACCAAGTTCGCAAGTTTGGCAGAGCGCAATGAGGGCGAACTCTGGTGGCTGATGGCAACAAGGTGGCCATCAAGGGTGTGGGAACCATCATGGAAAAGGTGGTTCTGCCCAACGGTGAAGAGCGTGAGATCGAAATCAAGAACGCGCTATATGTTCCAAGTATGAGCAAGAACCTGCTCTCGGTGCCACAGATTAACAGCCATGGCAAGTTTCAAGTCGTGTTTGACGGGTCCAAGATGTATGTGACTCTCAAGAACTCACAGCAAGTGGTGGCGACAGCGGATCTCGTGGATGGACTCTACTGGCTTCGGACGACTCAACGATCAGCTAATGTGACAACAAGTGGAACCAGTTGTGCCGATCTACATGCGAGAATGGGTCATGCTCCAGTCGATATACTTCGCAAGATGATCGCGACCAACATGATCAAGGATGTGCGAGTCCCTCTCAAGTCGGGTGGAGCAACTACATGTCGAGGATGTCAACAAGGGGAAATGGTCCAAAAACCATTTCCAAGCAACCGAGACAAGCGCAGCTACGATACGTTTGAGCTACTTCATCTGGACATCTGCGGGCCCATGGAAAAGGATTCGCTCGGTGGCAGCAAATATTTGCTGCTGATCATCGACGAAGCCAGTGGATGCATGAAGGGCTTTTGTCTACGAGTGAAGTCCGAGAGTGAAGACTACATCCGGAAATATATCACCATGGTACAGACGCAATTCTGTAAGAAGGTCAAGTTCGTGCGACACGACGGAGCTCGCGAGTTTGCAACCAACTCGCTTCAACTGTTCTACAAAGACGAAGGCATTGAACAGCAGACAACGGTGTCGTATGCACATCAAACACACGGAACAGCAGAGCGTGCCATTAGGACTATTGTAACGATCGGTGTTGACGGTCATCGATTTTCTACCAGTATTGGTAACCGTGACCGATCCAATCCGAACCGCCTGTTCAGCTTAGTATTTACGACGTAGTTCTTACGGTAATTACCATAGTTGATTAGACGCGTAGGATGATGAGACGCTTCACATGATTTATATGTACACCACATATAAATCATGTAGTAAGTAGTAAGCCCCGATAATCAATCACTTTCGAATCTTCCAACTATTGGGCAAGTGTTTTCTGCTCTACTCTCTTCGGTCTCTCCGCTCCGTTCGCTCCGCTTTCCTCGCTCCGATCTACAATGCAACAGGTTATGAGCCCAAGCGCCATGTCGTCCACCATCAACGCCTCCATTGAAAAGTTCAACGGAGACAATTACGCAACGTGGAGCCGGTACATGCGCGGTGTGTTTTTGACGAAGTCCGTCTGGCACGTCGTCAACCGTGAAGTGACTCCAACTTTCACCGACCCGCGAGCGTCCGATGACTACGTCAAGGCAAGCAACGTCGCGTTTGGTATGATGCTGCTGCACATGAACGCGGACTACTATCATGGGCTGGACAACTGCGAGGAAGCCTGGGTTTCGTGGACAAGTCTGAAGACGCTGTACGGTGGGTCGCAGAAGGCAGGACGCATCTACCTCAAGCTACAACTTTTCAGTATCAAGATGGATGAAGGCGCGAACGTCATGCATCACTGCAACGAGGTCCTCAACATCTCCTCCAAGCTTAGCGGCATCGGTGCGAAGATGGAAGACGAAGACGTTGCAATTTGTCTGCTACTCAGTCTTCCGAAGAGCTACGAAAATGTGGTGCTCAACATGGAAATGAGCAGCACCGAGCTTCGCACTCAAGATGTGGTGAGAGTCCTGACGAATGAGCATGCCAAGCGTCAAGGAGAAAAAGGGACAACGACAGCGACTACGGTGAAGGCTGAAGATGCAAGCAAGGCATTCAGCGCCGAGCGTGAGCCCTACCAATGCACGTATTGTGGCAAGGTGGGACACACGGTGGATCGTTGCTGGACAAAGCAGAAGAACGAAGGTCGGGGAGCCCGACGCGGCGGCAATGGTCGTGGACGCGGGGCTAACAATGTCCAGTGGGGACATCATGATGAAGGCAATGGCTACGATCGAGTGGCGTTTGCAGTCTCGTTCGAATGTGGAGTTTCGACGAGCAAGGACGTGTCTGGAATGTGGGCGGTCGACAGTGGTGCAACGCACCACATTTGCCACGACAAGACCAAGTTCGCAAGTTTGGCAGAGCGCAATGAGGGCGAACTCTTGGTGGCTGATGGCAACAAGGTGGCCATCAAGGGTGTGGGAACCATCATGGAAAAGGTGGTTCTGCCCAACGGTGAAGAGCGTGAGATCGAAATCAAGAACGCGCTATATGTTCCAAGTATGAGCAAGAACCTGCTCTCGGTGCCACAGATTAACAGCCATGGCAAGTTTCAAGTCGTGTTTGACGGGTCCAAGATGTATGTGACTCTCAAGAACTCACAGCAAGTGGTGGCGACAGCGGATCTCGTGGATGGACTCTACTGGCTTCGGACGACTCAACGATCAGCTAATGTGACAACAAGTGGAACCAGTTGTGCCGATCTACATGCGAGAATGGGTCATGCTCCAGTCGATATACTTCGCAAGATGATCGCGACCAACATGATCAAAGATGTGGGAGTACCTCTCGAGTCAAGTGGATCAGGTACATATCGAGGATGTCAGCAAGGGGAAATGGTCCAAAAACCATACCCAAGCAATCGTGACAAGCGCAGCTACGATACGTTTGAGCTACTTCATCTGGACATCTGCGGACCCATGGAAAAGGATTCGCTCGGTGGCAGCAAATATTTGCTGCTGATCATCGACGAAGCCAGTGGATGCATGAAGGGCTTTTGTCTACGAGTGAAGTCCGAGAGTGAAGACTACATCCGGAAATATATCACCATGGTACAGACGCAATTCTGTAAGAAGGTCAAGTTCGTGCGACACGACGGAGCTCGCGAGTTTGCAACCAACTCGCTTCAACTGTTCTACGAAGACGAAGGCATTGAACAGCAGACAACGGTGCCGTATGCACATCAAACAAACGGAACAGCAGAGCGTGCCATTAGGACTATTGTCACGATCGGCCGCAGCATGCTTCATCATGCCAAACTGGACAAGTGTTTCTGGGCCGAAGCAGCGATGACGGCCATCTACGTCAAGAATCGACTGCCGTCACCTAAAGTCGTGCACAAGACCCCGTTTGAGATCGTCTACAACTTGAAACCAAGCGTCAAGCACATGCGAACATTCGGGTGTCAGACATACATACTGACGCCTAAAGAGAATCGACTCAAGTGGGATCCAAAGGCTCGCGCTGGCATATTCGTGGGCTACGAAGAAGTTTCGAAGGCATATCGTGTTTATGACATCGAGGCGGGGCAGGTGGTTATCAGCCGCGATGTCAACTTCGACGAGTCCACCTATGGACTTCAACTGCCGATCACTGATGAAGATGTCGATGACCTGGACTTCGAATTGCTGGATCTTGATGACGAAGAGCTGCGTCAAATGGAGTACAAGCAAACAGGCAAGCGCAAGAACCGACTCAATGATGAAGATACAGCAGCTCCACGACCGCGTGCAGTGCGTCAACGACCAGGACTAGAAGAGTCAAGCGCGCCGGAAAACAACTCGTCACGCCAAGAAGAAGACGAAGAAACGAAGGATTCTGGTGATTCAACACCGCCTGTGTTTTGGCGTGCGAGTGCAAATGCCGTTGAAGCAGCAGTGGACTTATCAGAGCCCTCAACATTTGAAGCAGCAGTAAGCGGCCCTGACCAAGTGCACTGGAGAAAAGCAATTCATGCAGAGCTCGAGTCAATGCGACTTCGCGGTGTGTTTCGTGCAGCCAAGCTGCCCAACGGACAACGCGCCATTGGCACAAAATGGGTGTTCAAGATCAAGCGCAAGGCGGATGGGTCAATCGAGAAGTACAAGGCACGACTTGTGGACAAGGGTTTCCGCCAAAAGTATGGAATCGACTACACGGAGACGTTTTCGCCCGTGGTCAAGCATGTGACGCTGCGAAAGATGATCGCAATTTCCAAGCATTTTGGATGGCCCATCGACCAGCTTGATGTGATGACAGCTTTCCTGTATGGCGTCATGAAGGAACAAGTGTTCTGCGTGATTCCTGAAGGCGTCGAACTTGACAGTACGTTCGACTGCCTGGAATTGGTGAAGGCAATTTACGGCCTGAAGCAAGCTTTGCGAGTATGGAACGAGACTTTTGACGAGTGTGTGTTCCATTGGATTTCAAGTGCCAGGCTTCGACCCATGTCTCTACATCAAGACTTCGGACGGCCATTGCGTGTTTATACTGGTCTATGTGGATGACGTGTTGGTGACAGGAAGCTCACCCAAGTTGATTGCACACACCAAGGAAGACCTGAAGACACGCTTCGAGATGACTGATAGCGGCAAGTGTGCATTTGTTCTTGGAATTGAGCTTTTGGACGGTGAAGATGGCAGTGTGACACTATGTCAGCGTCGGTATGTCGATGATATCCTCAAGCGCTTTGGCATGGATGATTGCAAGGCAGTCGCAAGTCCAGTCGACATGAGCTCTCGACTTGTTTCAAGTGATGCAACTACCAAGGTCGATGCTCCTTTTCGCGAAGCTGTTGGTGCGTTGATGCACCTGACCACTGCAACGCGTCCGGACATTGCGTTTGCTGTGGGCTATGTGTCGCGGTTCATGGAAAATCCCCAAGAAGAACACTGGGTTGCAGTTAAGCGTATCTTTCGCTACCTACAAGGCACCAAGACGCATGGAATTTGCTACAAGCCAAGTGCAAGGATCGACTTCCGTGGATATTCGGATGCGGATTGGGCTGGTGATCTTACCGACCGCAAGTCAACATCGGGGTACACGTTCATGCTACTCGGTGCGCCAGTCAGTTGGGGCAGCAAGAAGCAGCCAAGTGTTTCGTTGTCCACGACTGAAGCTGAATACATCGCACTCAGCTTGGCGATTCAAGAGGGCAAGTGGATTCATCGTCTGCTTTGTGAGATCGTGATGGCTGCCAATGAAGAAGGACCGGAACTCATGATTCATGAAGACAATCAGTCATGTATCAAGATGACGAAGAACCCAGTCAACCACGGCCGTGCCAAGCACATTGATATCAAGTACCATCACATCCGTGATGAGGTCAAGCGCGGTGAAGTGAAGCTCAAGTACTGTGAAACTGCGGTGATGTTAGCGGACATCATGACGAAGGGACTTCATGGACCACGCCACAAGGAGATGACGACGGCTCTCGGGATTCGTGAGCATTCGGATTGAGGGGCGTGTTGACGGTCATCGGTTTCCTACCAGTATTGGTAACCGTGACCGATCCAATCCGAACCGCCTGTTCAGCTTAGTATTTACGACGTAGTTCTTACGGTAATTACCATAGTTGATTAGACGCGTAGGATGATGAGACGCTTCACATGATTTATATGTACACCACATATAAATCATGTAGTAAGTAGTAAGCCCCGATAATCAATCACTTTCGAATCTTCCAACTATTGGGCAAGTGTTTTCTGCTCTACTCTCTTCGGTCTCTCCGCTCCGTTCGCTCCGCTTTCCTCGCTCCGATCTACAATGCAACAGGTTATGAGCCCAAGCGCCATGTCGTCCACCAGCAACGCCTCCATTGACAAGTTCAACGGAGACAATTACGCAACGTGGAGCCGGTACATGCGCGGTGTGTTTTTGACGAAGTCCGTCTGGCACGTCGTCAACCGTGAAGTGACTCCGACTTTCACCGACCCGCGAGCGTCCGATGACTACGTCAAGGCAAGCAACGTCGCGTTTGGTATGATGCTGCTGCACATGAACGCGGACTACCATCATGTGCTGGACAACTGCGAGGAAGCCTGGGTTGCGTGGACAAGTCTGAAGACGCTGTACGGTGGGTCGCAGAAGGCAGGACGCATCTACCTCAAGCGACAACTTTTCAGTATCAAGATGGATGAAGGCGCGAACGTCATGCATCACTGCAACGAGGTCCTCAACATCTCCGCCAAGCTTAGCGGCATCGGTGCGAAGATGGAAGACGAAGACGTTGCAATTTGTCTGCTACTCAGTCTTCCGAAGAGCTACGAAAATGTGGTGCTCAACATGGAAATGAGCAGCACCGAGCTTCGCACTCAAGATGTGGTGAGAGTCCTGACGAATGAGCATGCCAAGCGTCAAGGAGAAAAAGGGACAACGACAGCGACTACGGTGAAGGCTGAAGATGCAAGCAAGGCATTCAGCGCCGAGCGTGAGCCCTACCAATGCACGTATTGTGGCAAGGTGGGACACACGGTGGATCGTTGCTGGACAAAGCAGAAGAACGAAGGTCGGGGAGCCCGACGCGGCGGCAATGGTCGTGGACGCGGGGCTAACAATGTCCAGTGGGGACATCATGATGAAGGCAATGGCTACGATCGAGTGGCGTTTGCAGTCTCGTTCGAATGTGGAGTTTCGACGAGCAAGGACGTGTCTGGAATGTGGGCGGTCGACAGTGGTGCAACGCACCACATTTGCCACGACAAGACCAAGTTCGCAAGTTTGGCAGAGCGCAATGAGGGCGAACTCTTGGTGGCTGATGGCAACAAGGTGGCCATCAAGGGTGTGGGAACCATCATGGAAAAGGTGGTTCTGCCCAACGGTGAAGAGCGTGAGATCGAAATCAAGAACGCGCTATATGTTCCAAGTATGAGCAAGAACCTGCTCTCGGTGCCACAGATTAACAGCCATGGCAAGTTTCAAGTCGTGTTTGACGGGTCCAAGATGTATGTGACTCTCAAGAACTCACAGCAAGTGGTGGCGACAGCGGATCTCGTGGATGGACTCTACTGGCTTCGGACGACTCAACGATCAGCTAATGTGACAACAAGTGGAACCAGTTGTGCCGATCTACATGCGAGAATGGGTCATGCTCCAGTCGATATACTTCGCAAGATGATCGCGACCAACATGATCAAAGATGTGGGAGTACCTCTCGAGTCAAGTGGATCAGGTACATATCGAGGATGTCAGCAAGGGGAAATGGTCCAAAAACCATACCCAAGCAATCGTGACAAGCGCAGCTACGATACGTTTGAGCTACTTCATCTGGACATCTGCGGACCCATGGAAAAGGATTCGCTCGGTGGCAGCAAATATTTGCTGCTGATCATCGACGAAGCCAGTGGATGCATGAAGGGCTTTTGTCTACGAGTGAAGTCCGAGAGTGAAGACTACATCCGGAAATATATCACCATGGTACAGACGCAATTCTGTAAGAAGGTCAAGTTCGTGCGACACGACGGAGCTCGCGAGTTTGCAACCAACTCGCTTCAACTGTTCTACGAAGACGAAGGCATTGAACAGCAGACAACGGTGCCGTATGCACATCAAACAAACGGAACAGCAGAGCGTGCCATTAGGACTATTGTCACGATCGGCCGCAGCATGCTTCATCATGCCAAACTGGACAAGTGTTTCTGGGCCGAAGCAGCGATGACGGCCATCTACGTCAAGAATCGACTGCCGTCACCTAAAGTCGTGCACAAGACCCCGTTTGAGATCGTCTACAACTTGAAACCAAGCGTCAAGCACATGCGAACATTCGGGTGTCAGACATACATACTGACGCCTAAAGAGAATCGACTCAAGTGGGATCCAAAGGCTCGCGCTGGCATATTCGTGGGCTACGAAGAAGTTTCGAAGGCATATCGTGTTTATGACATCGAGGCGGGGCAGGTGGTTATCAGCCGCGATGTCAACTTCGACGAGTCCACCTATGGACTTCAACTGCCGATCACTGATGAAGATGTCGATGACCTGGACTTCGAATTGCTGGATCTTGATGACGAAGAGCTGCGTCAAATGGAGTACAAGCAAACAGGCAAGCGCAAGAACCGACTCAATGATGAAGATACAGCAGCTCCACGACCGCGTGCAGTGCGTCAACGACCAGGACTAGAAGAGTCAAGCGCGCCGGAAAACAACTCGTCACGCCAAGAAGAAGACGAAGAAACGAAGGATTCTGGTGATTCAACACCGCCTGTGTTTTGGCGTGCGAGTGCAAATGCCGTTGAAGCAGCAGTGGACTTATCAGAGCCCTCAACATTTGAAGCAGCAGTAAGCGGCCCTGACCAAGTGCACTGGAGAAAAGCAATTCATGCAGAGCTCGAGTCAATGCGACTTCGCGGTGTGTTTCGTGCAGCCAAGCTGCCCAACGGACAACGCGCCATTGGCACAAAATGGGTGTTCAAGATCAAGCGCAAGGCGGATGGGTCAATCGAGAAGTACAAGGCACGACTTGTGGACAAGGGTTTCCGCCAAAAGTATGGCATCGACTACACGGAGACGTTTTCGCCTGTGGTCAAGTATGTGACGCTGCGAAAGATGATCGCAATTTCCAAGCATTTTGGATGGCCCATCGACCAGCTTGATGTGATGACAGCTTTCCTGTATGGCGTCATGAAGGAACAAGTGTTCTGCGTGATTCCTGAAGGCGTCGAACTTGACAGTACGTTCGACTGCCTGGAATTGGTGAAGTCAATTTACGGCCTCAAGCAAGCTTTGCCCTTCACGCGAGTATGGAACGAGACTTTTGACGAGTGTGTGTTCCATTGGATTTCAAGTGCCAGGCTTCGACCCATGTCTCTACATCAAGACTTCGGACGGCCATTGCGTGTTTATACTGGTCTATGTGGATGACGTGTTGGTGACAGGAAGCTCACCCAAGTTGATTGCACACACCAAGGAAGACCTGAAGACACGCTTCGAGATGACTGATAGCGGCAAGTGTGCATTTGTTCTTGGAATTGAGCTTTTGGACGGTGAAGATGGCAGTGTGACACTATGTCAGCGTCGGTATGTCGATGATATCCTCAAGCGCTTTGGCATGGATGATTGCAAGGCAGTCGCAAGTCCAGTCGACATGAGCTCTCGACTTGTTTCAAGTGATGCAACTACCAAGGTCGATGCTCCTTTTCGCGAAGCTGTTGGTGCGTTGATGCACCTGACCACTGCAACGCGTCCGGACATTGCGTTTGCTGTGGGCTATGTGTCGCGGTTCATGGAAAATCCCCAAGAAGAACACTGGGTTGCAGTTAAGCGTATCTTTCGCTACCTACAAGGCACCAAGACGCATGGAATTTGCTACAAGCCAAGTGCAAGGATCGACTTCCGTGGATATTCGGATGCGGATTGGGCTGGTGATCTTACCGACCGCAAGTCAACATCGGGGTACACGTTCATGCTACTCGGTGCGCCAGTCAGTTGGGGCAGCAAGAAGCAGCCAAGTGTTTCGTTGTCCACGACTGAAGCTGAATACATCGCACTCAGCTTGGCGATTCAAGAGGGCAAGTGGATTCATCGTCTGCTTTGTGAGATCGTGATGGCTGCCAATGAAGAAGGACCGGAACTCATGATTCATGAAGACAATCAGTCATGTATCAAGATGACGAAGAACCCAGTCAACCACGGCCGTGCCAAGCACATTGATATCAAGTACCATCACATCCGTGATGAGGTCAAGCGCGGTGAAGTGAAGCTCAAGTACTGTGAAACTGCGGTGATGTTAGCGGACATCATGACGAAGGGACTTCATGGACCACGCCACAAGGAGATGACGACGGCTCTCGGGATTCGTGAGCATTCGGATTGAGGGGGCGTGTTGACGGTCATCGGTTTCCTACCAGTATTGGTAACCGTGACCGATCCAATCCGAACCGCCTGTTCAGCTTAGTATTTACGACGTAGTTCTTACGGTAATTACCATAGTTGATTAGACGCGTAGGATGATGAGACGCTTCACATGATTTATATGTACACCACATATAAATCATGTAGTAAGTAGTAAGCCCCGATAATCAATCACTTTCGAATCTTCCAACTATTGGGCAAGTGTTTTCTGCTCTACTCTCTTCGGTCTCTCCGCTCCGTTCGCTCCGCTTTCCTCGCTCCGATCTACAATGCAACACAGCCGAAAGCCCGCATGAGCTTCACACTTGGTCGAAATCCGTTGACACTCTCAAACGGGGTTTGATCTTGGCACTTGGGCGATGGTAGGCAATTCTTGATGTAGATCGCCGTCGTTGCTGTTTCAGCCCAAAAAAACTCGTCCAGCTTGGCGTAGTGAAGCATGCTGCGCCCGATCGTCATAATGGTCCGAATTGCCCGTTCCGCCGTGCCGTTGGTCTGATGTGCATACGGAACGGTAACTTGCTGCTCGATTTCTTGATCATCGTAAAATGCCTTGAGCGAATTCGCCGCAAATTCGCGTGCACCATCGTGTCGAATGAACTTGACCTTGTAGTCAAACTGCGTATGTACTGCCATGATGTACTTCTTGATGCACATTCGCTGTCGGAATTGGCGCGCAGACTGAAACCCTTCATACATCCGCTGCCTTCATCGACGATCAGTAGCAAGTACTTGCTTCCATCTAGCGAGTCGACTTCCATTGGACCAAAAGTGTCGATGTGTAGAAGCTCAAACGGATCGTAGTTGCGCTTGTTTGGATTGCTTGGGAACGGTCGTTGAACCATTTTTCCTTCTAGACAACCTTGGCACACGCTTGATCCGCTCGATTTTGTTGGCTTCTTGGCATCCTTGATCATGCCCTTGGAGACCATTCTGCACAAGACATCAACCGGTGCGTGGCCCACACGCGCATGAAGGTTTTCGACTCTTGGTCCTAAAGCCGCATTCACCGATCGTTGGGATGCACGAAGCCAGTAGAGGCCATCCACGAGATCCGCTGTCGCCACCACTTGCTGTGAGTTCTTGAGAGTCACATACATCTTGGACCCGTCAAACACGACTTGAAACTTACCATGGCTGTTAATCTGTGGCACCGAGAGCAGGTTCTTGCTCATACTTGGAACATAGAGCGCGTTCTTGATTTCGATCTCACGCTCTTCACCGTTGGGCAGAACCACCTTTTCCATGATGGTTCCCACACCCTTGATGGCCACCTTGTTGCCATCAGCCACCAAGAGTTCGCCCTCATTGCGCTCTGCCAAACTTGCGAACTTGGTCTTGTCGTGGCAAATGTGGTGCGTTGCACCACTGTCGACCGCCCACATTCCAGACACGTCCTTGCTCGTCGAAACTCCACATTCGAACGAGACTGCAAACGCCAAAAGAGCGAACGGAGCGGAGAGACCGAAGAGAGTAGAGCAGAAAACACTTGCCCAATAGTTGGATAATTCGAAAGTGATTGATTATCGGGGCTTACTACTTACTACATGATTTATATGTGGTGTACATATAAATCATGTGAAGCGTCTCATCATCCTACGCGTCTAATCAGCTATGGTAATTAGCGTAAGAACTACGTCGTAAATACTAAGCTGAACAGGCGGTTCGGATTGGACCGGTCACGGTTACCAACACTGGTAGGAAACCGATGACCGTCAACACGTTGTTTATACTAAGGGATCACAGAAGCATAAACGGGTGATTCATGGTTCTCTCTCTATCACACATAATAGCTGTAATTCATTTGGGTCCGCTGACGAAGCCGAGCTAGCCGCGACATCCCGAAAGCGTGATTCTGTTAGCAAAAATTGTCGTTTTCTTCCCATCGTCTAGCTTTCTACCTCGTCATGATCGATCCCCACATTGCCGTGACCGCTATTTCTTCGGCGTCTTTAATTTTCGAACCCAAACTATTCTATAATTAAGGACGCGGACCCGACCACTGGGACCATCAAGGAAGACCAATCACGCGAGATACTTTTACCTCCGATGGGTTTTTAAAAAAATACAGCGGCGACCATGACACGATAAATCGCCCCTCTTGGCGACTACCTACCAGGCACTCCTCCTGTGCAATATCTGAGGGTCCAATGACTAGCTGGATATCGCCGTCGCGTGTCCTATCCTTCTGACCTTTTTATACCGTGGTCATCTCGCCGCTTGAATTTTATCAATGTGGCCAGAATTAATATGGATTAACTGTTTTAACCACTTCTCTCAACCCAGGCATTACCTGCTTCCATTTCTTGAGCTTCGCGCTTACCGGTATTCTGAGGCTCAATGGTCTCCGCGACTTGTAATTTTGGCAGAATTTATTCCTTGCATGGTCAAAAACCGTGGGTAGTTCTAATCGACCGATCGCACCCGTCTTTACGGCTAACTGGCTGGTTTCAAGAATTGGTGAACGCATACCGCGACTTTTAGGATCACCACCGCTTGTTAAAATGGTAAGCGACTCAAGTGCGGCCAATTATCTTCGGTCCTAGATGCGCGAAATTCCCGGTGAAATGTCTATTATAATAAAAGGTACCAGAGAAGTCCAATATCCGACTCTAGTTATGTCTCAGTACTCAGGATCGTGTTGCAGGGTTTGAGATAGGGTTCGTGTGACCTCGACATCCTGAAAGATCCATGTTTCTTGCTCTTACATGGAAGACTGGAGGAGTACATGTGATACCCGGCTGTCGACAGACCAATTTTTCGGATCGACTTCTACCCTGCACTAATTGGACTCTGCAGATAGTAAGCGTAATCATATCGCAAGGCAATCGTTGATCACCCTGGATCATCCATCCAAACACTAATGGACAAGTTCATGTAAGTAGTTTGTCGTGTCTTGCAGAATAGGTTGAGCTTCTCTTGTCAAAGTATTAATGGCAGCAGGTGTGGTTTCCAGTCATAGATAGCTACTTAGCATGTCTTCGTTGAACTTTAATCATTTTAATTTTATAGCCATGCTTTTCACCAACTATGCAATATTTCCTTATTGCCAACTCCTACAATCCTAGCCATTATCCCTCACGAACCGGATAAAGGTTATTAGAATAATCTAAAGGTGGTTACTTACCACACCTGCAGTCTAAGTAACCACCTTAAGATTTTTTTAATATTTAATTGGTCTTCTTGTACTTGAATCCCATTAAATCGATTTTGATGGTCACAATCGCGTTCAAATTCTTGTAGCGATGCGCCGCACTTAAGTCTCGCCTCATCAACCTAAGACTCATCGTGATGAACATCCCACCGGACCAGAAATTGTGGATGCAATCTCCACACTTCGTTTTGTCGCCAGATCACGCACATCTGATACTTTACATTTTGTATCGTCTTCCACCAAATGATATTCTCAGCTATATTCCGGACATAGAGCTTCATCGAAACCCACCCGTTCGGCATATTCCACCTGTAGCCATGCAATAGGTCGGTCAGGAAAGCTTCATACCAATTTCAGATTTCGAAATGTGTGGTGGAGTGGGATTCACTCATTTTGCAAAGAGATCCCGACCCTCTTCTGGTGCCCGGACGACCGGCTAACGGAGGGAATACTCCATACCGTGTGTCTTGTCTTGTTCCTTCTCACATTGTGTACCCGTCAACGGGCATGTTAAACTCCTTCAGGTGGATTGAGGTCGATTTCTATCTCGATGAAGCAGGAGATAGGTCGGGTGTGGTCACGTAAATATTCTTCACACAACTATCAGTTATTTGTGGCACTCTCCTGGAGTCGTTCAGATAATTCCTGAGGTCTCATTGCCCTTATGTGGATGCTTAATCAACCCCCATCTTCTTCTGATCTCTTTGAGCCGTGTATAGACCTTGTCCTTATTTGATCGCCGCGTTCGATCGCGGGCTAACTTAAAGAAGTATATTTGTCTTCAACCAATCAACCTGGGAACAGAAATTGATCAAGCACGCATACAAAAAACTTGAACGTCCGGTAGCCACAGATATTTCAGCCCGGAAAGATACCAACGCGTGGCTTTTGTTAAAAAAAAGCAATGTTTGGTATTGTGCTACTAAAAACTATACGCTATCACCTCTCTATTTCTCATTTTTCATTACGGAGTGCACCCCCGCCGTATATTTCTTGGCCTTAGAGTGGTCCACCCCATCCAACATCATTACCGATAGTCACAACCGGTCAGTATTCCTTCGTAACGTTTCAAATTCCAGTGGTCAGTCCTGAGGCCTTCGTGACCTTTCCCGCTAGTATCCATGGCGCTAGAAGATGCATTTGGTCCTATATTTTTTGTTACTTCACCATAGCTACGCAACAGCTCCAGTGTCATGGTACATCTTTGCGCGGTCTTCAGCCCAAGACGGAATTGGTAGAACATCTCTGGTGGCAGGTCAACCATCTCCAGAGTCGATGTTATCTCCTCGCGGCAAAGTTGGATCATTCTGACTGCTCCCGTGGGCCTCTTAGAGGTCTGCTTCATCCTCCGTCTTTCTCTTTCGCGGCTTCAGATCCAGCTGCAGGGCTTACTTCAACTCTTTAGATTATCCTGCCTTGGAAAGCCAAACGTCACCCCTTTTCCGGTAAGCGACCACGGCGAGGCTCTTTAAGCGAATACGCCAAATATATCAAGTCCGGAGCGTTAAAAACCCCTCAGTGCTGAAATCAGGAGCACTTGACGGTACCTTCTCTAAAGCCCTTCAGAGACCATCCTATTGTTCAAAATGATAAAACGAGAAGATCCGGGCGGTGCTGGCCAAGTCGCGGTCTATCGGTCGTTTTACCGCGTCCAATGGTCCTTCAGTTCCTCTGTCACCAGCCACCGTTTCCGCAGGGCCGATCTCAAACCCAAGTCGCTCATTAAACGAGCGTTGTTCGGTTCCTCCAACTCAGATACCAAGTCTATCTCTGGGTTGCTCCCACTGCTGCGTGCGACGAGTCAATTTTAGGTAACCTGTACTTTCTTCGTTGGATAGGAATCGTATCTGGGTGCGTGCGGGTGAAGACCTTACATGAAAAGAAGTGGTCCATTGGTGATTCGACCTTGTCAACTTCTTATGTGTAACCGCGGTTATCCCCATAGACCTGGCCTACCATCTTGAGTTGTCGTGGGAATGTATCAACCTACCAAACGGTAACGTCAATCAAACCTTAATTCTTGAGCATTCACTGATGAAGTCCCCCATGATCAGGAGCAAGCTGTTCACTGATCCTTAAATATCACCCACATTCCCGAATCCTCTGTCCTTCCGAATGATAGACTAGTTCGCCGGGCTGGCTGCGGCCTACACGCATTTGACGAAGACCGTAGCCAATCGCTTTGGTAGGCGAACTAGTACTTGTGAATCTATGATGACTAAGCGCACACGAATAACTTCCTTGCGTATTACTATCACGCATAGAATAAGTGTAACGGTCATGAGTTTGGGAGTGGCGGGACGTGATCGACTTGGTAAAAAAGAAAATGATTGATGGTCGATGCAATCTTGACATCTTCCTTAATTTCTTCTTCAGGCACCAACCTCGACCTCGCTGTGTGGTGTATTGGCATTCAGTCGGTTAAAAGGTATCAGATCTAGCCAGCTTATTAAAACACCTTCAGGTGTCGGAATCCATGTGGTTCTGGCTCCCTTAATATTAAATGTCATCAGAGGCTCATCCTGGGACATCAGCCGCTCGCAATGAGAACAAACTTGGCCCTTCCTCTTAGGTTTCCTTCACTTGTATGTAAACGCTTTCGATCTCTTTTGACGCTTACTTTTACCATTCGCCCACATTTACATCCTTTTGTGATGATTTATTCTGTCTTTGTTAGACATGTCAGCTTTTCTTTCTTCAAAACAGTAGACTTTACTCTTGAGGGGCCAAGGTCTGCACCCAAAGTCCCCGGCACATTGTTGACGGTCATCAGTTTCCTACCAGTATTGGTAACTGTGACCGATCCAATCCGAACCGCCTGTTCAGCTTAGTATTTACGACGTAGTTCTTACGGTAATTACCATAGTTGATTAGACGCGTAGGATGATGAGACGCTTCACATGATTTATATGTACACCACATATAAATCATGTAGTAAGTAGTAAGCCCCGATAATCAATCACTTTCGAATCTTCCAACTATTGGGCAAGTGTTTTCTGCTCTACTCTCTTCGGTCTCTCCGCTCCGTTCGCTCCGCTTTCCTCGCTCCGATCTACAATGCAACAGGTTATGAGCCCAAGCGCCATGTCGTCCACCAGCAACGCCTCCATTGACAAGTTCAACGGAGACAATTACGCAACGTGGGGCCGGTACATGCGCGGTGTGTTTTTGACGAAGTCCGTCTGGCACGTCGTCAACCGTGAAGTGACTCCGACTTTCGCCGACCCGCGAGCGTCCGATGACTATGTCAAGGCAAGCAACGTCGCGTTTGGTATGATGCTGCTGCACATGAACGCGGACTACCATCATGTGCTGGACAACTGCAAGGAAGCCTGGGTTGCGTGGACAAGTCTGAAGACGCTGTACGGTGGGTCACAGAAGGCAGGACGCATCTACCTCAAGCGACAACTTTTCAGTATCAAGATGGCTGAAGGCGCGAACGTCATGCATCACTGCAACGAGGTCCTCAACATCTCCGCCAAGCTTAGCGGCATCGGTGCGAAGATGGAAGACGAAGACGTTGCAATTTGTCTGCTACTCAGTCTTCCGAAGAGCTACGAAAATGTGGTGCTCAACATGGAAATGAGCAGCACCGAGCTTCGCACTCAAGATGTGGTGAGAGTCCTGACGAATGAGCATGCCAAGCGTCAAGGAGAAAAAGGGACAACGACAGCGACTACGGTGAAGGCTGAAGATGCAAGCAAGGCATTCAGCGCCGAGCGTGAGCCCTACCAATGCACGTATTGTGGCAAGGTGGGACACACGGTGGATCCTTGCTGGACAAAGCAGAAGAACGAAGGTCGGGGAGCCCGACGCGGCGGCAATGGTCGTGGACGCGGGGGCTAACAATGTCCAGTGGGGACATCATGATGAAGGCAATGGCTACGATCGAGTGGCGTTTGCAGTCTCGTTCGAATGTGGAGTTTCGACGAGCAAGGACGTGTCTGGAATGTGGGCCGTCGACAGTGGTGCAACGCACCACATTTGCCACGACAAGACCAAGTTCGCAAGTTTGGCAGAGCGCAATGAGGGCGAACTCTTGGTGGCTGATGGCAACAAGGTGGCCATCAAGGGTGTGGGAACCATCATGGAAAAGGTGGTTCTGCCCAACGGTGAAGAGCGTGAGATCGAAATCAAGAACGCGCTATATGTTCCAAGTATGAGCAAGAACCTGCTCTCGGTGCCACAGATTAACAGCCATGGCAAGTTTCAAGTCGTGTTTGACGGGTCCAAGATGTATGTGACTCTCAAGAACTCACAGCAAGTGGTGGCGACAGCGGATCTCGTGGATGGACTCTACGGGCTTCGGACGACTCAACGATCAGCTAATGTGACAACAAGTGGAACCAGTTGTGCCGATCTACATGCGAGAATGGGTCATGCTCCAGTCGATGTACTTCGCAAGATGATCGCGACCAACATGATCAAGGATGTGCGAGTCCCTCTCAAGTCGGGTGGAGCAACTACATGTCGAGGATGTCAACAAGGGAAAATGGTCCAAAAACCATTTCCAAGCAACCGAGACAAGCGCAGCTACGATACGTTTGAGCTACTTCATCTGGACATCTGCGGGCCCATGGAAAAGGATTCGCTCGGTGGCAGCAAATATTTGCTGCTGATCATCGACGAAGCCAGTGGATGCATGAAGGGCTTTTGTCTACGAGTGAAGTCCGAGAGTGAAGACTACATCCGGAAATATATCACCATGGTACAGACGCAATTCTGTAAGAAGGTCAAGTTCGTGCGACACGACGGAGCTCGCGAGTTTGCAACCAACTCGCTTCAACTGTTCTACGAAGACGAAGGCATTGAACAGCAGACAACGGTGCCGTATGCACATCAAACAAACGGAACAGCAGAGCGTGCCATTAGGACTATTGTCACGATCGGCCGCAGCATGCTTCATCATGCCAAACTGGACAAGTGTTTCTGGGCCGAAGCAGCGATGACGGCCATCTACGTCAAGAATCGACTGCCGTCACCTAAAGTCGTGCACAAGACCCCGTTTGAGATCGTCTACAACTTGAAACCAAGCGTCAAGCACATGCGAACATTCGGGTGTCAGACATACATACTGACGCCTAAAGAGAATCGACTCAAGTGGGATCCAAAGGCTCGCGCTGGCATATTCGTGGGCTACGAAGAAGTTTCGAAGGCATATCGTGTTTATGACATCGAGGCGGGGCAGGTGGTTATCAGCCGCGATGTCAACTTCGACGAGTCCACCTATGGACTTCAACTGCCGATCACTGATGAAGATGTCGATGACCTGGACTTCGAATTGCTGGATCTTGATGACGAAGAGCTGCGTCAAATGGAGTACAAGCAAACAGGCAAGCGCAAGAACCGACTCAATGATGAAGATACAGCAGCTCCACGACCGCGTGCAGTGCGTCAACGACCAGGACTAGAAGAGTCAAGCGCGCCGGAAAACAACTCGTCACGCCAAGAAGAAGACGAAGAAACGAAGGATTCTGGTGATTCAACACCGCCTGTGTTTTGGCGTGCGAGTGCAAATGCCGTTGAAGCAGCAGTGGACTTATCAGAGCCCTCAACATTTGAAGCAGCAGTAAGCGGCCCTGACCAAGTGCACTGGAGAAAAGTAATTCATGCAGAGCTCGAGTCAATGCGACTTCGCGGTGTGTTTCGTGCAGCCAAGCTGCCCAACGGACAACGCGCCATTGGCACAAAATGGGTGTTCAAGATCAAGCGCAAGGCGGATGGGTCAATCAAGAAGTACAAGGCACGACTTGTGGACAAGGGTTTCCGCCAAAAGTATGGCATCGACTACACGGAGACGTTTTCGCCTGTGGTCAAGTATGTGACGCTGCGAATGGTGATCGCAATTTCCAAGCATTTTGGATGGCCCATCGACCAGCTTGATGTGGTGACAGCTTTCCTGTATGGCGTCATGAAACAACAAGTGTTCTGCGCGATTCCTGAAGGCGTCGAACTTGACAGTACGTTCGACTGCCTGGAATTGGTGAAGTCAATTTACGGTCTCAAGCAAGCGTCGCGAGTGTGGAACGAGACGTTCGACGAGTATGTCTGTGCTCCATCGGATTTCAAGTATCGGACTTCGACCCATGTCTCTACATCAAGACTTCGGACGGCCATTGCGTGTTTATACTGGTCTACGTGGACGACGTCTTGGTGACTGGAAGCTCGCTCGAGCTGATTGCACAAACCAAGAACGACCTGAAGACGCGGTTCGAGATGACGGACAGCGGCAAGTGTGCGTTTGTTCTTGGGATCGAGCTTTTGGACGGTGAAGATGGCAGTGTGACACTATGTCAGCGTCGGTATGTCGATGATATCCTCAAGCGCTTTGGCATGGATGATTGCAAGGCAGTTGCAAGTCCAGTCGACATGAGCTCTCGACTTGTTTCAAGTGATGCAACTACCAAGGTCGATGCTCCTTTTCGCGAAGCTGTTGGTGCGTTGATGCACCTGACCACTGCAACGCGTCCGGACATTGCGTTTGCTGTGGGCTATGTGTCGCGGTTCATGGAAAATCCCCAAGAAGAACACTGGGTTGCAGTTAAGCGTATCTTTCGCTACCTACAAGGCACCAAGACGCATGGAATTTGCTACAAGCCAAGTGCAAGGATCGACTTCCGTGGATATTCGGATGCGGATTGGGCTGGTGATCTTACCGACCGCAAGTCAACATCGGGGTACACGTTCATGCTACTCGGTGCGCCAGTGAGTTGGGGCAGCAAGAAGCAGCCAAGTGTTTCGTTGTCCACGACTGAAGCTGAATACATCGCACTCAGCTTGGCGATTCAAGAGGGCAAGTGGATTCATCGTCTGCTTTGTGAGATCGTGATGGCTGCCAATGAAGAAGGACCGGAACTCATGATTCATGAAGACAATCAGTCATGTATCAAGATGACGAAGAACCCAGTCAACCACGGCCGTGCCAAGCACATTGATATCAAGTACCATCACATCCGTGATGAGGTCAAGCGCGGTGAAGTGAAGCTCAAGTACTGTGAAACTGCGGTGATGTTAGCGGACATCATGACGAAGGGACTTCATGGACCACGCCACAAGGAGATGACGACGGCTCTCGGGATTCGTGAGCATTCGGATTGAGGGGGCGTGTTGACGGTCATCGGTTTCCTACCAGTATTGGTAACCGTGACCGGTCCAATCCGAACCGCCTGTTCAGCTTAGTATTTACGACGTAGTTCTTACGGTAATTACCATAGTTGATTAGACGCGTAGGATGATGAGACGCTTCACATGCTTTATATGTACACCACATATAAATCATGTAGTAAGTAGTAAGCCCCGATAATCAATCACTTTCGAATCTTCCAACTATTGGGCAAGTGTTTTCTGCTCTACTCTCTTCGGTCTCTCCGCTCCGTTCGCTCCGCTTTCCTCGCTCCGATCTACAATGCAACAGGTTATGAGCCCAAGCGCCATGTCGTCCACCAGCAACGCCTCCATTGAAAAGTTCAACGGAGACAATTACGCAACGTGGAGCCGGTACATGCGCGGTGTGTTTTTGACGAAGTCCGTCTGGCACGTCGTCAACCGTGAAGTGACTCCGACTTTCGCCGACCCGCGAGCGTCCGATGACTACGTCAAGGCAAGCAACGTCGCGTTTGGTATGATGATGCTGCACATGAACGCGGACTACCATCATGTGCTGGACAACTGCGAGGAAGCCTGGGTTGCGTGGACAAGTCTGAAGACGCTGTACGGTGGGTCGCAGAAGGCAGGACGCATCTACCTCAAGCGACAACTTTTCAGTATCAAGATGGATGAAGGCGCGAACGTCATGCATCACTGCAACGAGGTCCTCAACATCTCCGCCAAGCTTAGCGGCATCGGTGCGAAGATGGAAGACGAAGACGTTGCAATTTGTCTGCTACTCAGTCTTCCGAAGAGCTACGAAAATGTGGTGCTCAACATGGAAATGAGCAGCACCGAGCTTCGCACTCAAGATGTGGTGAGAGTCCTGACGAATGAGCATGCCAAGCGTCAAGGAGAAAAAGGGACAACGACAGCGACTACGGTGAAGGCTGAAGATGCAAGCAAGGCATTCAGCGCCGAGCGTGAGCCCTACCAATGCACGTATTGTGGCAAGGTGGGACACACGGTGGATCCTTGCTGGACAAAGCAGAAGAACGAAGGTCGGGGAGCCCGACGCGGCGGCAATGGTCGTGGACGCGGGGCTAACAATGTCCAGTGGGGACATCATGATGAAGGCAATGGCTACGATCGAGTGGCGTTTGCAGTCTCGTTCGAATGTGGAGTTTCGACGAGCAAGGACGTGTCTGGAATGTGGGCGGTCGACAGTGGTGCAACGCACCACATTTGCCACGACAAGACCAAGTTCGCAAGTTTGGCAGAGCGCAATGAGGGCGAACTCTTGGTGGCTGATGGCAACAAGGTGGCCATCAAGGGTGTGGGAACCATCATGGAAAAGGTGGTTCTGCCCAACGGTGAAGAGCGTGAGATCGAAATCAAGAACGCGCTATATGTTCCAAGTATGAGCAAAAACCTGCTCTCGGTGCCACAGATTAACAGCCATGGCAAGTTTCAAGTCGTGTTTGACGGGTCCAAGATGTATGTGACTCTCAAGAACTCACAGCAAGTGGTGGCGACAGCGGATCTCGTGGATGGACTCTACTGGCTTCGGACGACTCAACGATCAGCGAATGTGACAACAAGTGGAACCAGTTGTGCCGATCTACATGCGAGAATGGGTCATGCTCCAGTCGATATACTTCGCAAGATGATCGCGACCAACATGATCAAAGATGTGGGAGTACCTCTCGAGTCGAGTGGAGCAGGTACATATCGAGGATGTCAGCAAGGGGAAATGGTCCAAAAACCATACCCAAGCAATCGTGACAAGCGCAGCTACGATACGTTTGAGCTACTTCATCTGGACATCTGCGGACCCATGGAAAAGGATTCGCTCGGTGGCAGCAAATATTTGCTGCTGATCATCGACGAAGCCAGTGGATGCATGAAGGGCTTTTGTCTACGAGTGAAGTCCGAGAGTGAAGACTACATCCGGAAATATATCACCATGGTACAGACGCAATTCTGTAAGAAGGTCAAGTTCGTGCGACACGACGGAGCTCGCGAGTTTGCAACCAACTCGCTTCAACTGTTCTACGAAGACGAAGGCATTGAACAGCAGACAACGGTGCCGTATGCACATCAAACAAACGGAACAGCAGAGCGTGCCATTAGGACTATTGTCACGATCGGCCGCAGCATGCTTCATCATGCCAAACTGGACAAGTGTTTCTGGGCCGAAGCAGCGATGACGGCCATCTACGTCAAGAATCGACTGCCGTCACCTAAAGTCGTGCACAAGACCCCGTTTGAGATCGTCTACAACTTGAAACCAAGCGTCAAGCACATGCGAACATTCGGGTGTCAGACATACATACTGACGCCTAAAGAGAATCGACTCAAGTGGGATCCAAAGGCTCGCGCTGGCATATTCGTGGGCTACGAAGAAGTTTCGAAGGCATATCGTGTTTATGACATCGAGGCGGGGCAGGTGGTTATCAGCCGCGATGTCAACTTCGACGAGTCCACCTATGGACTTCAACTGCCGATCACTGATGAAGATGTCGATGACCTGGACTTCGAATTGCTGGATCTTGATGACGAAGAGCTGCGTCAAATGGAGTACAAGCAAACAGGCAAGCGCAAGAACCGACTCAATGATGAAGATACAGCAGCTCCACGACCGCGTGCAGTGCGTCAACGACCAGGACTAGAAGAGTCAAGCGCGCCGGAAAACAACTCGTCACGCCAAGAAGAAGACGAAGAAACGAAGGATTCTGGTGATTCAACACCGCCTGTGTTTTGGCGTGCGAGTGCAAATGCCGTTGAAGCAGCAGTGGACTTATCAGAGCCCTCAACATTTGAAGCAGCAGTAAGCGGCCCTGACCAAGTGCACTGGAGAAAAGTAATTCATGCAGAGCTCGAGTCAATGCGACTTCGCGGTGTGTTTCGTGCAGCCAAGCTGCCCAACGGACAACGCGCCATTGGCACAAAATGGGTGTTCAAGATCAAGCGCAAGGCGGATGGGTCAATCGAGAAGTACAAGGCACGACTTGCGGACAAGGGTTTCCGCCAAAAGTACGGCATTGACTACACGGAGACGTTTTCGCCTGTGGTCAAGTATGTGACGCTGCGAATGGTGATCGCAATTTCCCAGCATTTTGGATGGCCCATCGACCAGCTTGATGTGGTGACAGCTTTCCTGTATGGCGTCATGAAACAACAAGTGTTCTGCGCGATTCCTGAAGGCGTCGAACTTGACAGTACGTTCGACTGCCTGGAATTGGTGAAGTCAATTTACGGCCTCAAGCAAGCGTCGCGAGTGTGGAACGAGACGTTCGACGAGTATGTGTGCTCCATCGGATCTCAAGTATCGGACTTCGACCCATGTCTCTACATCAAGACTTCGGACGGCCATTGCGTGTTCATACTGGTCTACGTGGACGACGTCTTGGTGACTGGAAGCTTGCTCGAGCTGATTGCACAAACCAAGAACGACCTGAAGACGCGGTTCGAAATGACGGACAGCGGCAAGTGTGCGTTTGTTCTTGGGATCGAGCTTTTGGACGGTGAAGATGGCAGTGTGACACTATGTCAGCGTCGGTATGTCGATGATATCCTCAAGCGCTTTGGCATGGATGATTGCAAGGCAGTTGCAAGTCCAGTCGACATGAGCTCTCGACTTGTTTCAAGTGATGCAACTACCAAGGTGGATGCTCCGTTTCGCGAAGCGGTTGGTGCTTTGATGCATTTGATGACTGCAACGCGCCCAGATATCGCGTATGCTGTGGGTTATGTGTCGCGGTTCATGGAAAATCCCCAAGAAGAACACTGGGTTGCAGTTAAGCGTATCTTTCGCTACCTACAAGGCACCAAGACGCATGGAATTTGCTACAAGCCAAGTGCAAGGATCGACTTCCGTGGATATTCGGATGCGGATTGGGCTGGTGATCTTACCGACCGCAAGTCAACATCGGGGTACACGTTCATGCTACTCGGTGCGCCAGTGAGTTGGGGCAGCAAGAAGCAGCCAAGTGTTTCGTTGTCCACGACTGAAGCTGAATACATCGCACTCAGCTTGGCGATTCAAGAGGGCAAGTGGATTCATCGTCTGCTTTGTGAGATCGTGATGGCTGCCAATGAAGAAGGACCGGAACTCATGATTCATGAAGACAATCAGTCATGTATCAAGATGACGAAGAACCCAGTCAACCACGGCCGTGCCAAGCACATTGATATCAAGTACCATCACATCCGTGATGAGGTCAAGCGCGGTGAAGTGAAGCTCAAGTACTGTGAAACTGCGGTGATGTTAGCGGACATCATGACGAAGGGACTTCATGGACCACGCCACAAGGAGATGACGACGGCTCTCGGGATTCGTGAGCATTCGGATTGAGGGGGCGTGTTGACGGTCATCGGTTTCCTACCAGTATTGGTAACCGTGACCGATCCAATCCGAACCGCCTGTTCAGCTTAGTATTTACGACGTAGTTCTTACGGTAATTACCATAGTTGATTAGACGCGTAGGATGATGAGACGCTTCACATGATTTATATGTACACCACATATAAATCATGTAGTAAGTAGTAAGCCCCGATAATCAATCACTTTCGAATCTTCCAACTATTGGGCAAGTGTTTTCTGCTCTACTCTCTTCGGTCTCTCCGCTCCGTTCGCTCCGCTTTCCTCGCTCCGATCTACAATGCAATATACCGCTGATCACATAAAGAAATACAGCTCGATAGACCGAGTTGTGGTGTAGTGGCGATCGCTCAATTTATGAGGCGATCCTAAATCTTAATGGTGTCTAAACGACCGGCTATCAGAGGGGGTACTCCGTTTTCGTACCTTGTATTTCCTTCGACACCTTTTGTACCCATCGGTAGGGCGGGCTGCACTCTTCTTGGTGACTTGTGTTGAGAGAAAACTTGACCGTGTTGAGAATGAGGTTTGTGATCACGCGGAAACCTTCACACGATCACGGGTATACTTGTAGGTTGCTTGATGTAAGCGACACAGATCTCAACAAGATAGCCTTGTCCACAACGTG